AAAAAAAAGATAAAAAAATATATAAAATTTAAATATAATAAATTAAACTTGTGATACATAAGCATGCTTGTATGTTTTTATTTTATATACTTCCTGTTGTTAATGTATGCGCTGTCCTTAATATGAGCATACTTATACGCGTGTGTCCTGCAACGAAGGTTTAGGAGCGAATCGATTCGTTGTAGGATATTCCGTTATACTTCACGTAAAGATGATTAATTGTACGAAATTAATGCTATACATAGTGTTATTTATTATAACATGTTTATTATACGTATTAAATTAGTGGTATAGATATTATTATTTACAATTAGGAGATAGTTTCAACTATCTTAGGAGATTATCAACTATCAATTAGGAGATTATTTTCAACTTTTCAATATTTTATTTAGATGATTTGTTGGATTTAGTAAAATATTGCAAGAACATTGTCAATGAAACAAATGGTGGTACCGAACGTGTTAATGAACGTGAATTTAAATAAACTGCCATCAAATTGTGGGAAAGGTACTTCCCCTCCGGTTTTCATGATCCTCGGATATGTTGTAGGAAATACGATTTTGAACAACTTTTTCCACTGTGTGTAATCGGCGGTTGGGTTTAATTTAAGAAATATTCACGCTAAAACTATTACTCAGGTATAGTTCGATTGTATTAGTTACAGTGACCGGTTTTAATTTTTTTATTTTGCAACTACTGACAGTGTGAAAGCGTTAAACATTCAAAATGAATAGAAAATTGATTTTTTACGTAATTTACAGTAATTAATTACATAAAAATGAATAACTAATATAATTTAATTAATATTAGCAGAAATTAAAAGAGTTTTTATAAGGTTTACATATTAATCGTATTAAATTCTTGGTAGTTCTAATGTTAATGAAAAGGTTTCTGCACAACACATTGAATTTAGCCTGTGTAGACATGACTAATACAATTGTCCTCGCTGCAGTAGTTGTCAGTGAGTTGTTGAGTGAATAGCGATATTGACCTCAATGTCTATAGGGTGTCCCACGAAAAATCGATCGCTTAAGGCTACAGCTTCAGACCAGAAGAATTTTTAGAAATTATGAAAGAAAAGTGTATTTTCACCCTGGAAAAACTAACCTCACTAATACTAGTCCGTGCTATCTAATTTTTTTTGCCGTTAAATATATTTGTAGTCAATTCATCAGGGGAATTTTTATCAAAATAGATGGCGTTGTAACTCGGGAAGAATAGAACTTAACTAATCGTTACACATTATAGATATTGAGTATACAGGAGCAATTAAGTATAATATGAAGATACATAACTAATAATACAAATTGAAGATACACAATTAATAATATAAATTGAAGATATGTAATAATATTATAATATAAATAGAAAATACATAACAAATAATATAAATTGGAAATATCTAAGAAATAATATAAATTGAAAGTACATAACAAGTAATATAAATTGAAGATATACAACTAATAGAGAGATAGGACACAAGTACTTATTAGCTAAAAGTAAAGAGTGACATTAGAAGTTACCTAAATAAAACCCATTTCTGTGTATTACAAGAAACTGCTGATAGACATGTTTATATGAATAGAATTCAATGCATCGTGCCAACAGGTTTTTTATTAATATCTTGGGAACTAATCCCGACACTGTACATATGCTGACACAAAAGTTGTTCAAAATGTGAATTTCCACAGCATACTAAAGAATCATTGAATTCTGAAAGGAAGTAGCGCTTTGGCTTCACCCAATGTGGACGTCAACGAGCAATGTTGGTCCCTGTCCCGTTTCAAAGTGAATCATTCGCGCGCGCGCACGCGTAATATCAGTTGCTCGCTCCGAACCTGGTATCAGCTCACCGCGATGACTAATCTGCTGCCGGCAATTGTGCTCGCAATCGCAAAAGTCGACTCGAATCGCGGACCAATATTTTCATTCAACGGCTTTGTGCAGAAGCTATTGCTACGTGACTCTTTAAATCCTTTGTTTTATTATCATTTTTTTTCGCGAAGTCACCGATACTTGGCAGTTTTCGTTCCGTCGGACGAGAAAATGAGATTTAACACTAGAACTACCGAGCACTGAAATTGACTTTTTGAAATTTCTCTATAGAAACTTCAAGAGTGCATCTATTGAGACTTTAATTCATTCATAATTCAATTTAGGTATTGTCAAATCAATTTCTTTCCCTCTTTCTTTCAACTCCCAGAAAAGCATCCGCTATGTTTTTAATAATCGCGGAAAGAAGTAATCAGGAATGGGCCATTTTGACCCGTTCGGTGATTCTAGTGTTAACTCCATATATTTTTCTGTCCGTTTTCGCGCAATTTTTGAATGTCTTTTTATTCCACCATTGTTTCTTTTGCATAGCCATATATATTTTGTACTTTCGGTTTAACCCTTTACAGACTACATCAGTGAAGTTTATTTTATTTATTTTGTATTCTTTTACTTAATTATCATTTATTCTAATTTTTAAAAATTAAAGATTGCTCCGAAGAATATTAAAAATGTCTAAATTATTAAGAAATTCTGGTAATATCAGTAACATAGAGACGAATTTAAATGAATTGAGGGGAACCGAGAATTGGGTGTCGTCTCTGAAGATTTAACCTTTCGCACTTGACAATATTTTTCATGATAAATATTCGATATTTTTTTCGACTAATGTAAAGAAAAATATTACAGAAATTATGAGACAGGACTATTTTATTTCCGTTTTGTGCGTTGATATCTTACACAAAATTTAATCCTTCGTTGCTTGATTTAATACAGCAAAATAATTAAGTTTCATATTTACTATTAAACTTTCTGTAATAGATCAATATGTAAAATATTGAAATAAAATATCTTTATTCTTTAATTTATGTGTCACATTTCGTTAAGTTAATTTAAAAAAGTATCGTCCGTATTTGATCAGAAAATGTTGCATATTTCAAGTGAGAAACCTTCGAATGCAAAGAATTGACCACTTGCCTTTTCATCCCGAGTGTACTTGGCATTTTTTTTGTTCTAAAAATTATTTAAAAAGCTACTAAAAAAAATTATCAAAATTATTATCTCGAGTTAA